GGTCCAGATTTACTATTTTTTTCCTGCTGTAATGAACATTTTAAATAGATTACAAGCGACGGAGAAATACGCCAAAGCACAAAAAGAAAGCTGTAATACGATGCAAAGCAGTGAGCTAAGGTAGCTCGTCATCGTATCGCTGCGAGTTGGGCAATGTTAAATTTGCTTCAGCATGTAGGACTTAATGAAAGCTTTAGAGATAATTTGCAGCCAACATTAAGGTCAACGAACTTTTTTTGTTGCCGATTCACTGTTGTGCAACTTCAATGATGTATAATGTCGCTAAACAATTCGTAATTTGAGGTGTGGCTCATTTTAAACACGTCAGCATTGGTGCACTTCAGGACGTATTGATTGCAGTGAACTAGCAAAGAGGTATCATTTACTAAGGAGGATTTTAGCAAGGTTATAATTGCTGCAGTTGCAAGGAAATATCCTAAACTTCTGTCAATTTTAAGACCGCGTTCTCGGCACATAGAGGACAACGTACGTTTATGTGCTGTGTCCCAGACTAGGTTGTGAACATGTTTTCCTTCATTTCAACTTATCTTCTGTTGACTTGATGTATGTGTCTACATTTCTTTTTATCTTACTTTTGAAAATGTTGTTACTTGTAAATAAACCCAATTATGAAATGCTTGTCTCAGCAGTCGGTCATCGCACCTGTGGTGAGGTCCGTACAACAGTGATCGCCACCCCGGCAGAAATGCTGGTGGAAAAGTGCTATCTAAAGTGCTATCGAGTGTCGTTTTCGAAATTTTGTCTATCCGCAGCAAAACTCAAAACCGGTGTTAATCAAATTGACTCACTTTGAATCGAAGAGCATTTTGAAAACCTCCGTTTTCAATTCAGCCGAGTGGTATATACGGTAGCTCTGGCCATAGAATTTATGAAAGTTGAGTTTCCAAACGCATCCGCGCATTTTTCTTCCAGACGTGGGTGAGGGCAGAGTTTGTCAATTTTTCTTGCAACTTGTCGCGCAACATCTTTGCTTTGCAAGTTGGAAAGCGTTGTTGCCCGTATCACCACTCGCTTGTGCAACTTGTTGCGCCACAACATTCAGTCTAGCGAATTGCAGCCACATGTTCCACGAAGTAAAAGACGGTTCTACTTTTTGCAACGAATCCTGGTGTTTGTTGATTGTTTTACCACTTGCACTGCAACATGCAACGCAACAAAGTCGTAGAAAACGCTTCTCATTGGCTAGCCCATTCAAGCGCGCGCAAGTGACCTCAGTCCGCGCGCTGACAAGTCAGTGAACATGGTGGACAAAATTAATGTATTCCTTAAGACTCGGGAGACTGAATTACTCGACCAAAAATTGTCTGAGGCTCAGAACTTTGACCTGTACAAGGCCACAGAAAACTATAAGGCAGGCCTTCTACTACTTCCACTGTGAAGTGTCCTTTTATACATACTGAGATTTTCACTACGAAATCTGTTGTCTCAAAACCTAGTTCACAACTTTTTACAGCCAATCAAATCTGAGAAACGACAATTTTACGCGTGGAGAAAACGGTTCGTCCAATCACGAAGAACCTGCCAGAAGTACTGGGTTTTCACGCCTTATCCTTCTCCTACCCCGTCAGTTTACTTGAAACTTAGCTTCGTCGTTGGTTGTCTAAACATTTTGAAAGGGGTTTGGAGTTCTATAGTCAAACTTATTTCCCAAAATTAGCTTTTTGAGATGGCCGAAACCTCAAGTTCATGACTTCCGGCGTTAGAAAAACCCGTAAATGAGGTTATTCGGGAGCAGGAAAACAAGAACAAGAATATTCTGAACGACGGACCAAAACACGAACTGGAGCGGAAATTTGAAATATCAGATCAGTCAAGCCTAAAGTTTTCGCCACTCAAGACGGGCCAGATGAGAGAAACCCCGTATTTGTTTACAAATTTATCGCAAGAAAAGACCAAACTCATTGCTGATCACCGAGACCCCTTTCTATCTTAGTATCAACTATTCAATGGATTCTGGTTGATGCAAGTGCAATGGGGGCAAACAAACTAAACTCGTTAATGAAAAATATGGCAAACAAAGTTGGACTCGACGAGAAGCGACGGCTCACGAACCACAGCGCAGGAAAAACGATGATGCAAAAAATTAACGAAAGCAATGTTCCCCCCACTCACATCATACAGCTTTCAGGTCACTGTGATACGCAAAGTGTAAACAACTACAGCTCTGTTTCTAAAGAATAACAGAAAAAAATGTCATTGATACTGAGCTTAAAGCCTTCAACATGCAATGCCGCGAGCGCCACAAACAACAATGCTACAAGCACCGCTGCAACCACCTCTTTGAAGGCCGAAGCGGAGGCTTCGTAAATAAAAACCTCGATGTTTCCTGCTGTTGGTCCCTACAGTGGAACCGTATTCCAAAGCGGACAATTCAACATAACTATAAGCACTGTGAACAAGTCACCAGGCACTGGTGCAGATGGCTCAAATCAACGGAACGATGCTACAAACGAATCAAACGAATTCTTGAATCGTCAGATGATAACGACAGCAGACTACTTCAATGAAAAACTTTACCACTAACTGACTTTTTAAAAAATAATATTTAAGTGATCGACTTTATCACGAATAAAGCTTGTTTGTAATTTTGTAGAGCTACTTGAGCTCATGCATTTTTACGCATTTGAAGCTACGTTTTTGCAAGTGAAAGCAGCGTCTTCACTTTTACTTTAATGACTTGTAAGCTCATTTAAAAATAAAAATAAAATAAAACAACAACAAAAAAGGGGAATCTCAAGATGTATGAAATAAACAAATTACATCATGGGAAGGGCACTTATACGGCATTTTCGCATTTGTTGGTTTGTATCAGAAATCTCACTGGTTCGCTATGCTCACTCTTTCGATTTCTGATGCATCACCAACTCGTGCGAAAATGCCGTACGCGTGCCCTCCCCATAAATTAATCTATATGTTATGCTATCAAATGTCGAGGGGAATTAGCTATCGAGCACATCACGCTCGGCGAAAGACACCAAGCGTCTCGAACTGTCTTTGCTGCTTCAATTAGAACCAATTAATAATAGGCCGTTGGCACTTAGTAAAGGGTGACCGCGACCGCTTAATAGAGGTGAAAAATTACAGTGATTAGCGGCAAAAAAATTCAGGCCTTTGACAACTGATCGCTTAATACAGGGTAACCGCTTAATACGGTGTTGCTTAATACAGGTTCGATCTTACTTTTTTAAGTAAGTTGCGATCCTCCCGGTTCTACTAACTTTGCTGTCAAGACGGCTTCTTAGCTCTAACTAAATAAAGTTTTTCTGTGAGGCACAAGTGGCACCGCTTGCTTTTGTTGCTGTAGGCCGGGGAGGTCGCTAAAATACTCCAGTTAATTGTAAAATTGGTGTTGTTGTCCTTGAGTGTCCAGATATGCTTTGATAGTTCCGTGCTGTTTGAATAGTTTCTGTTCCGAAAAGAAAGTTTGTGTTGCGTGTAACGTTGTTTAAAAGTTCCTTCAGTTAGTCCAATGTAATTCTTTCCGGTTGTGCCATTTTCTGTTGTTACGTTGGCGTTGTAGACGACGCTTGAAGTGAGGGCAGTCGTTTTTTTTTCCTGCAGTTACATTTGTTTTCCGTGGAGGGTGTCTTGCTTGTCTCGAGGATTTTTACTCTCGAAAATGTTTATTGACGAGGTTCAGAACCTCGTCAGTAAACATTTTCCGAAAAATCACCGGTACAGCAAAATTTTCAACAAAAACAACACGAAAGTTAGTTGTAGCTGCACAGACAACCTACAAACCATAATTAAGAAACACAACAGAAAAATCCTCGTTTGACTACAGCCACGAGATACCTTTCTTATTTAACAATGAGACTTTTAGGAATTACATGTCACTCCTTTTTCTATGACGTTAAGGCCTCAAATTTAAACAACGACAAGGAATTAGTCCTAAGTTACATGCCTCAGCTGGATCAACGAGTACCCTACCCTCCCCTCCCCTGACGTCAATTATCGAAGTGATTTTGTCACATAAATGTTTAACCGAAACAGTCTACGTGCCCTTTCACTTTCCAATGCTTAGTAACATATACGTACATTAGATAAGTCAAATCACTCAACAAATATAGAAAGTTAAAGAGTACTTTGGTTAACTTGATAAGATCAAGACGGACATGTTTTTCTCTCTTACTAGTGTAAATATCAAGTTTTGTCTTGTCGTATATATGATTTTGAATTTCTATCATACCAAGTTATCTTCGGCGGAGAAAAATGGCTCCAAATATTGAGACGTTGACGATACACATACAATATTAATTCCTAAAGGCATAGCTGTCCGGATGAACTAAGTTATATTTAGTCTACTTCGCAAGGGATTTTTGGGACATCACCCGATGCGGCGGCAGATGAGATCAAGTTATTTGTTTTATCTTTATTATTTCATTACCGAGCTTAAAAATTACCATCTTCCTCATTCTGTTCACTTGTACAATGCTTTCGACATCGCTGATCCCAGCAGTATGCAGGAAGCGTGACGCATATAAGCTTAGTAATGAGTAACGTGACCATAGCGGTTCTCGGTAGCTTGTAAAACATTCTCAAGTAGACTCAGGTTTTTCACTCCGTTCCATGCTCGTTGCAAGACTAAAGAGGCTAAGTTATGCTATTTGCAGATTGTTTTCACGCACATACGTGTTGAACGGTGCGCCTGCCAAGATGAAAACGATCTTGATTATTCATGCGATATTTCCATAGTCTAGTTTCCCGAAACGCATAATTATAGAACCCACTCAACAAGGTAAACGTTTGTTTCTTTCACTTTATAAAATTATTTACCAGAGAAATAGCTGAATGAAGGCAAATAACGACTTACAAGGAGGAACATAGAGTGTGCTACGTAAACACGTCACAACACGTTCAGATTTTATTTTTGTGATTATTTTCACTTATGTCACTCGATGTTTGTTTATGAGCCTTGAACGTGCTTATAGGGGATGGAACGGAAGGAAAAATTGATTCAAAACCGAAATCTCTCTTGGATCACGTGACGATCATACATACGGAAATAACTCAGTGTTAACAGGTCTATAAAAGAAAAGTGCCCTTTCGTTTCTAATCAGATTTATGATGGCGTTATCGGCTGGGTTTCTCCGAGCGTTTGGATTGTTTCAAGTTTCTTTGGTCGTTCTTGGATCCGGTCTTGTTTACGCTGAAAATAATTCTTCACCACGATTTCCAGTTGGCGATCCACGAAACTGTCCTCTCACAAACGGAGTTTATCGCTTCGAGGTTCTTCCGGGAGGCGGCTGGGACAACTTAAGAAATGTTCATATGGGCGCTGTTTCAGTGATGAATTACTCCAAATGTAAGACTTCAGACGACGGCAAGTATCTCATTCCCGATGATGTGATCCTGTATCCTATCAAGGAGAGCAAAGTGCATGTATTTGCTGAAATGTACGATCACTGGCACAACTATTCGTCCACCACAACCAAGTCTATCAATGCGGAAGCTTCGGGAAAATTTGGTTTTGGAAGCATAAGTGGTTCGTTTTCTTCTGAGTTCGAATCAGTGAAGAAACATCAAGTGGAAGATAAGGCTGTAACCACTCGAGCACAACTACGCCATGTTTTATACACGGCGAAACTCCAGCCCGATGCCCCTCTACAGGCACCGTTCAAGTCCCGTTTGCTCGAGATCGCATCTCACTTACAGCATAACAATACTGCTTATGCAAATTTTCTCGCGCAGGTATTGGTTCGAGATTTCGGAACGCACTATGTTACAAGCGTCAAGGCCGGAGCAGCCCTGGCGAAAGTGGATCACTTGACAAAGAAATTCGTGGCTGATTTCAGTGAAGATAAAAGTAAGATTACAGCTGCCGCGAGTGCATCTTTTTTCGGGGTGTTTGGAGCTAGTGCTAGCTATACTCAGACAACTGACAAAAAAGTTTTGGATGAATACACACAGAACATCGCTTATTCCACAGTATATACATTCGGAGGACCTCCATTCAGGGTGAATTTTACCATCAACAAATGGGAAGACCAACTATTGGACGAACTGGTTGCAGTTGATCGGTCAGGTGACCCTCTTCATTTTGCAATTACACCCGGAAGTGTACCAGAATTGTCCGAAGAACTGGTCTTCAAACTAGCCAACGTTGTCGAAAAAGCCATTAAACAGTACTATGAGCACAATACCATTAAAGGATGCACCAAAATGGACTCTCCGAACTTCAGCTTTCAGGCCAACCTCGACGATGGATCTTGCGAGAGCCCAACCAATAACTACACCTTCGGGGGCGTTTATCAAACGTGCCAATGTGAGGGCTCTCCATCCAGTAATCCTTGTGGATCTTTTCTCCAGAAGAACCCTCTCACGGCCGACTACTCTTGTAGTAGTGGTTATGAACCAGTCATGGTACATCAAGGTCGCACACCCGAAAGCTGCCATCGTGAGTGCCATGGATGGTGGATTTTTAAAAGCTGCGACACTCATTGCGGATTCGCCAGCTACGACACCTACTGGTGTGTTGCGAAAGGTTCGGTGCCTCGTAATACAGGGTATCTCTTTGGTGGACTCTACAGCAATGTGTTAAAGAACCCAGTCACACAAGATCACAGCTGTCCAGTTAGGTTTTACGCCTTGCGCTTTGGAGCCACCATGCAAGTTTGTGTGAGCGATGACTACGAGCTAGGCTTCCAGCAGTCGGTCCCCTTTGGTGGCTTCTTCAGTTGTAATACTGGTAATCCTCTCGGTGTAAAGAAAGCTGCGGACAGTGCCAAAGGATCAAACGGTATGTTCTCCCTTTCCCTTATATACCTTACATTGGTAGGCATGTTCTCTCTACTTTTCTCAAGACATTTCCTATTTTAACGACGGAGAGGAGAAATTGTTTAACGAAATTGTTTAACGGTCAAGAGCTTCTTTGATAAATGATTATTCCTTCTAAATTCGTGACATTAGTGTTTGATTCAGGGGTGAGAACGTGAAGAGAAATTAATTAGATAATTAAGATTCTTAGAGGTTGAAGGGTTTCATTGAAATAGACCCTTCAAGCTTAATAGTTTCATTTTCTTCCTTTTTTTTATTTTTTTTCGCTTTTTATAGAAGTATTTTTTTATCCTAATTGATAGCTAGAAATTTCAAAAATTCAGAAACGCCTGATTGTTTTAAGATCAGCAGGCGCATTCGATTCTTGCTTTCTCGTTGTTGCGATTTTGAAATAGTTGTGCCTCTCAATGTATCATTTTGTTTTGCAAATTTATCTGAAAGGGACTCTAAAAAGCTGAAGTGACATAGAGCATTTAACTGCATAACGAATTTAGAGCTTAACTTTTCGGTTTTCAATTACCACTCGGCCAACCTACAACTCATCAACAATTTACAGCTTTTGTTTTCCAATGCAGGTATGGCTTTTTATTTCGCTTTTCTGCGAAAACATGTTTCCTTTGAAACTTTATGCCATCCAAGTAATTTTCGGGTTTCGAATTGTGTTGCGTTACCTGTTCCTTACGACTATGAAGAAATTTTGTAAGTCATGGCGCGGTCTTCACCGATAAGTTTTTTTTTCTTCTAGCTAGGTATGAACGTACGACATTCCTTTCAACCTTTCAAATGTGGATGAATGGTTAGGAAATATGACTACGTTCATGAGAACAAAAACAAATATGAGCGAAATTGTTTTGTGCACTTTCGAATCGCATAGACTCAGTAGCCATCGCGTGCCGAAAGACAAACTATCCATGTAGAAAATAAAGCAACAGCGGAAGTAAACGTTGACACTCAGAACCGGCTACATATGGAAATTGCTTGTTGACATCTAGTGATACATTGTGATAAGATCATAATGAAAGAGATTTGACACAAAATTTCTTTATCAGGCGCTCAAGCGAAGATCGAGGAACAAAGCCAAAATCTATCTCGGATTCTTTCTCCTTCGCTGTAAAGCATGAACACGACTCAGTCATTGTTATTCATCTCCGCCCCTACTGCGGGGTGGCGAAACCAATACCTTAAGATCTTACCATTGTCGTTCCACCATCTTAGTTAATCTCGCTCATAGGCTGAATTAGAATTGCGTTTCCTATCATCGAACTCAGCGAGACAGGTTGAGACAACGGTCAAATCTTCCTTCATTCGTTTGCTTATCCGTTTTGTCTTTTGCTACTTTGCAGGTCTCTCAGGCTTGGCATTGTTCGTGAAACAGTCTGGTCCATCTGTATGGCCAAAAACCTGTCCAATAGGTTATTCTCAACATTTGGGAGCCATTGAAGAAGACTGTGAGATCAACTTCTGCGTGAAGTCCAATATATTCAACAGCCAGGGATTTCTCATCATCAAAAGACCTCCTTACTCGAATGCGCCCAAAATTTACAAATACACCGTGCCCTTGCTTGTGGTTAACAATGACACCGGACATATTTGGTTTAAACGATCCAACTCACCACATTGGGTTTTGGCCACTAAAAGGTGAGTGAAGGGAATGTCATTCTCTGAGCAGAGTCGGTACTGAGTAGAATATTGCAGGGTTGAAACCTGAAAGTAAGAGTTGATCTTGTAATAAGATTTTCCAGGTGAGGGAAGCACTAAAACGAACGCTCGTCAGTGAAAATAAAAGCTATCATTAGAGTAAAGTGAAGGGTCGTTTGCCAGTCGAATGACTGCACAGGTTCCTCCCAGGGAATTAACAAACTATTCCTCTTATCTCTTTCGCATTCAGCTCTGTCGCTGAATTCGTAGCCGAAACCAACCTAGATGGTCCTGCAATAATAGGTATGGATCCCGCGCATGAAAACTTGAAAAAAGGCAAAGAAAAGTCTTCCTCACAGAGTTCCCGTGATGCCATGGGTGCCGGGGCCGCGGCTGGTATTACATTCGGCGTGACAGCATTGGCAGGATTGTTGATCGCAGTCATGGTCATTGGCTGGCGTCGCCATAAGACCATTCAAAGAGAGAGCAGCGGTTTAATGGAGCCATTGAATCCCACTGGGTACGGCGCCGTAAAAGAGGAAGGAAGCCCACAAGTTTGAATTATGCAGGAACTTTAAATTGTCTTAAAACTAACAAATGACTCCAGATAATAACTTAATGTCTCTTAAAACGTTTTTGAAGTTGACATTTTCTCGCGCTTTGTCCCGTAAATTCGTTTTCTGATAATTGTGTTTTTCAAGTGACATTGTTACCAGCGCTTGTTCTGTTTAAATTGTGATGGAAGAAATAACCCTAATTTCAGAGGCACAGAGAATGTAAACAAAGGATGTTTCGTTTGACAGAGTACGGTTACACCTGTTTACACAATGATATTGAGTGTCGCTAAACCAAAACCAAAGTAATCACAACTTCTAATCAGAAGAAAGAAAAATACTTTAAGAGCCAATGAGAATTCAAAGTAAAAACCACCGAACTGCTAAAAGCGCGGGAAAACGCGAGCGACTAAGTGGTAAATTGGTTTTAGTTTTGATCTGATTGGTCAAGAGAGTAGTGTGAGTTTTCTGCACCAATCACGGATCTAAGTAGAGCAAAAACAAAGCAAGCCTGGATTACTTTCAACTCCTGCTTGTCGTGTCGGACAAACACTGGATCATTGTGTTGTACTCTCAAACTACTTAACTAAAACTGTGTTGTTCACGGTATAATCCTAAAAGCTATTCTGCCTTTTCAGTAGTCGGTTTGAGAAGTTATTTTGCATTGAATCACATTGAAAAACAATGAATAGACGAATAAATACATTTATAACATGGCTGGTAAATTTGTCTAATCAAATTCAATTGCGCGAGCGTGCTTCATATTCCTATTGTGCACGCTCACGACGTCAGCAAACAAATCCCTCGAGAAAATTTTCCATGGGGTTGAAAATGTTATAAAACAATTGATTCATACGTCATCTGTGCGTTCATCGAGATATGAAGCACTTGGGAAGTTTGGAGAGCACTCAAGAAGCTAGGGTTGCTCTCGGCTACGCCTCGAGCAACTCTTACGCATCTTTCGTGCTCTCCAAACTTCCCGCGTGCTTCATATCTCGATGAACGCACGCTGACGTATAAACCAATTGTTAATTATAACATAGCTAGTAAATTTGTCTACTCAAATTTAATTGCGCGAGCGTGCTTCATATTCCTATTGTGCACGCTCATGACGTTAGCAAACAAATCCCTCGAGGAAAAACATTTCCCATGGGGTTGAAAATGTTATAAAACAATTGGTTAATACGTCAGCTGTGCGTTCATCGAGATATTAAGCACTTGGGAGGTTTGGCTACGCCTCGAGCAACTCTTACGCATCTTTCGTTCTCTCCAAACTTCCCGCGTGCTTCATATCTCGATGAACACACGCTGACGTATGAACCAATTGTTAATTATAAAGAAACGGATAATCAATCAAATGACTCAGTAGAGAACTTACAACGAGATGGCTAGAATTCAGATATAAATAAGGAGAAAATCTTTCAAACCTGACCATTAGATTTTCTCACGCTCCAATTGACATTCTTATGGCCTGCAAGTATCCAATCTCTTTCCCAGAGGTCAGGCCTCCCCCAATCCCTTGCGAGCCGGAAACGCCAAAGATTGCATGTATCAAAAGAAAGAGGTTTACAAGCAATTAGACGTACAGTGAGCATCCCAAGTAAAATCATATGCCGTAGGGTTTTATAATGTTAAGGGTTGTTAAGCCTCGTGAAGCTGTCAGCAAATAGATGTCAGGGCTGTAATATAAGGAAGATAAGAAGGACACGACACTCCTTTTCAAAATTCTTATAAAGTTGTTGGGGCGTTCTGGGATGGGAGGGAAAATTTCTCTGTTTGGGTAACTATCACGTTCTTTTTTAGGGCGGTCGGCCCATCTTTTATACCCACTCTATAAAATTTACAGACCAGAGGCCCGTTTCTTGAATAACCGGTGACTTTACGTTCCCGGAAAGCTCACTTTTGATAGTAGTGTTTCATTCAAGATCGAGCCATTTTTTAAAAGTGGAACATAAAAAAGATAAAAAAAAAAAAGCGTACAAAATAAACCGCTTTTTTTATTAGCTAAGACCAGCACGTTTCAACTCAGGAATTAGATTTCAGAATATTATTTCGGGCGCATAAAGTTACAGGGCGCGTAAGGTATTTTCAAGAAACGAGCCCTTAGTCTGCAAACGAGAATAGAAAATGTCATACTATGCTCTGAAATGGCACCAGGCTATTGAAGACCGAGCGGCACACTGGCTTTAAAAAGAGTTCAAAGGAATATGGAGGACTTGAACGAATTTGATGTTGTTTTGCAGAGAACGACAATGAAATGCAGAAATTATTACACAGCTGTCATGTTGATCAAATGTTGGCTGGCCTCGCTGTAGGAGCATACGAAGGGAAGGCAGTGACTTGATGGAGCCATCGGATCCCTTTGGGTACGGTGTTCTCAATTAGCAAGAAAGTACACGACAATGAATTATGCGGTAAATTAACAACAACAGCAAAAAGAATAATGACAGATGGTATTCAATGTTTTATATGTATACATATATAAATATTCGCATATATATATATAGTTCGCTTTATTACTTGAGGTCTCATATATTATATCATTCAGTGCAAGCATGTTGGTGCTTTTTTTTTAAGTCGTATATTTTGTCTAACTTCCTAGTAGCCGCTTAGGATCAAACTAAGGTTGTGGGAGATGTGATAGCCTATTGGTTGCTAGGCTGGGCTCCGGTTCAAGAAGTCTGGGCTCGAAAGGTGCCTTGGTCATTGTGTTGTGTTCTTAGACATAACACTTAAACTCTCACTGAACCTCTTTCCACCAAGGAGTGCAAACTAGTACCAGCGAACAGCTAAGAAAACCTCATGGGAAGCGGAAGCGGAGCAGGAGGGGGGGGGGGAGGGAATCTGCAATTAATTAGTATCCTTTCCTGGGTTGAGTAGGACTGCTTCTAGTCTTCTAGTTTATATGAGAAATGTATTTCTCATATGGGGTAATCTGAAGTTGGAAATAGCTGAAACAGCCGTAGTGTGTAATGAAAACGAGTTAATCCATAACCATTAATAACAAGAGGCCGGTGATGTGTGCTTTATTCGCGTATTTTCCTTACACTTCAAGGCAAATCAGTTTTGATCGTTTTTACGCATCAAATGGCACGGCACTGCGGTTTGTTGTTTGAGGTGTGTCTGGGGTGGGTGAAAAAGTTTTTGGATCAGCGGATCTGATCTTTTGAAACGTCACTGATTGTAGATTTCTGCAGAAACTTTGGCATGTTTTAAAATTTGCATGAAACAAAAAATGAACGGGCTGAAAATTTGGCTCAGATTCTGGATTTTGTTCGTCAAGAAGTTTGGACTGTGACCGTGCATCATTGACGATCGGCTTTTAGTTTGAGGTCTCTTTTGTCATGTTTGTTAAACGCAATAGAAATTGTTCTACAAATGTTGAAAATTTCTCCCTGCCTCGCATATCAGTTGTTTGCTTTAGCTATTGGCTCAGGCGAGTAACTGAATTTTTTTCACTGTTGACAAATCACCAAAACTGTTTTACCTTAAGCCACTAATCATTAAATAGAGAGCTTTTTGATTGGTTGTCGCAAAACCAAAACCAAAGTAATTACAACAACCAATCACGAGAAAGGAAAATACCTTTAATTTTCAATGAGAACTCAAAGTACAAATCACCAAAACTGTTTTAACTTAAGCCACTAATCATTAAATAGAGAGCTTTTTGATTGACTGTCGCAAAACCAAAACCAAAGTAATTATAACAACCAATCACGAGAAGGAAAATACCTTTAATTTTCAATGAGAACTCAAAGTAAAGACAAGCAGACTGCGCAAAGCGCGGGAAAACGCGGGCAACTAATTCTTGACTGGTTTCAGTTTTGTATCTGATTGGTTGAGAAAGTGGCGCGAGTTTTCGGGACCAATCACAGAACGAAGTAAAGCAAAACCACAGCAATCTAGGGTTACTTTCATCACTCATTTGACAATTGCTCCAACTGTTGAGTTTACTTGCATTATAACCCACCGTAATATAGACTTTTCACTTGATTTTAATAATTTTTAAGAAAGTGCTGACAAAATTGCAACATCAAGCAAGCACCCTCTCTTAGATTAAAGCTGACAAATTTGCGTCGTTTTGTATTCTGGGTGCAGTTCTCACTTCATTCCTATTTCCGATCAAGGTCAAACAGAAATGTCCGCAAGCTTTAAAACCAGTTAAGTATTTAAGCTTGACGGTTGGTGACTATGCATCAGCTAATAAAAAAACGCATCTGTAAATCATGAAGAGAAAAAAGAATTGAAGTTAAATGCTTTTTAAACCGCGCAGTGCGCGTGCACTCATTTCTTTGAAAAGTAACCGAACAATTATGACGCGAGCATTCAACCTCTCTATCGTCGACAGTTAAAAAACATAAAAATGGACGCCCTACCAAACGAGCTACTGGCTTACATTCTGGCGTTCCTTCATCCTGTTTACGGTGAACTGTCTCGTCTCTCCATTGTGTGTAAGCGATGGAGGGAAGTAATAGAGAATACAGCGTCTCTTTGGAAGTGCATCCATTTCACACCCTCCTATCCGGAGTATTTGTCGTCCACCACAAGGGATAGAAGCAAGCTGCGGCACTGCCTCTTTAAGTTCGGACATTTTGTCACATGTTTAAGGGATGACGCAAAAACTTTCACTGACCCAGCTCTCCAAGGACTTCTTTGTCGTTTGAAAAACTTAACACGCTTAGATGTACCCTTGTTGGAATGTGACCTACAATTGTTACAGACATTGCAGTGCGCAAACGTATTGGAGGAGTTGAATCTTACGAAAGCTACGCGTGATGATCTGAACTGGCTGTTCCAACCGACATATTCCTTGGAAAAAGGTTTCGTCACGCCGCAACATCTACAGATGCTTCTTTTAAGATTTCCCCATCTCAAAGTTTTAAAGCTTGCACTTGATTCTATCGCGTCCCCACCACCTACTTTCATCGCGTTTCTCCAAAAAGCAAACTTAAGGGAACTAGAACTCACTGGGTTTAGTCTCCGCCCAGCGTTGCCGCCGCATATCATCCATAACAGAGACATGTGTTTGAAGACCATTGCTTCTTCTCAGCGACTCGCTGCTATAGTCACTCGCTTGGAGCTAGAAACATGCCCACTCTTTTTTACAAGCGATCACTTGCGAATAATGCTAAAGCTCATGGTTTCACTTCGGCATCTGATTATTGGTGCTGGTATGGTTCATCGCGATCGGAAAAGTCTGTTATCCATTGAATCGCCTTCGCTTTGTACCCTGATGTTAGATGGGTTATCGACCTTACGAATGCAGTGTTTGCGTTGTAACACACCGCTTTTGAAGGAATTCCAGTTGGCAAACTGTCTCGATCTGACTGCTGCTTTTGTCTTTTCCGAATCCTTGGAATCGATGTGTTTGCGTAATCTCGCAAACATTCACAACCTTAAATCCACTTCGACACGTTTGAATCATTTGGAGTTTGTAGGGTGCCACTCTATGCCCATTACAACCTTGCGAAATTTCCTAAAAGGACACAAAACAATCAGTAAGCTCTCTATCGTCGGAGAGCTCACTGGTCTGACGCTGTTTGGCACTATGTGCCCAAATCTTAAAGTGTTGAACATTTTACTCTATCAAGTGCCTAAACTCAGGAGTATAAAGATCGACTGTCCTACACTAGAACATTTTCACTGTGATGTGTATAATCGAGGACTATCTACGCCAGACGAACCCGAGGCATTTTCGAACGAGCGATCCACATGTTCGATTTTCATCCGAGGCCAAAAACTCAATCACGTGTCAATAAATTTGCCTAATGCAACTGCTATTGCCGTGAAATGCGAGGAGCTTGGTTATTTAAGTGTAAAGATGAGCGAGACAGAAAGCGATAATAAAGCCGCACTTGACTTTGAAGTTATCTCTGGCACAATTGCGTTGGTAACAACCACTAACTGTAAGTTTTCGCGTTATTACCTCCAATCTAGATTCATTGATCAATTAACTCTGGAATTGTGTGAAATAGAGAGTGGTGGGGAAACCATACCACGCCTAGAGGTCCACACAAAGGCCATCGACAGGTTACGACTGGTCAGCTGTCTCCATTTACAATGCGCTGAGCTTCGCATTAGACAAGAGAGAATTGAACACGTGTCGTTTACAGAATGCAACAATTTGCGCAATATAGTGATGTCGCGCGCAGTGAAACATACTCCTGAGATGACCGTGGTAAAATGTAGGAGCCTGGAAAGTATTTTCCTTTCGTCTGGTAGGTGTATTGACGTGTCGGCTCTAAACGTAGCCTGTTATAACACCTGTCTTAACGTCCCCAGACTACCACAAAGGTGTGACGATAAAACCTGTCTCATCTGTCCAGAAAAAGCTGAAGAGGATGACTATATTAATTAAAAGAGTCTTGTTTTAACTTGACAATAAGAAAATATTATGTGTATTTATTTTTTGTTCGCGCATTATAAATGTATGTATCCTGAATAAGTTATTGAACTTGAAGTTCACTGTACTTTTTATGTTTTAGCCCACAGTTGAACCTACATGAAGCGGTCACTCACGGGGAATGGTGACTGCTTAACACAGGTTCCATAGATTACGGTTATTATAAAAAACGATAGACAACGCAACTTTGTGCCATAACTGACCACTTAATGTATAGAATCTCACTCAATAAAAAAAAACTACTTACTTTGATTTTGCGAGAGAAAAATGGATTCAAAATTACTTGAAAGATTATTCCTAGTTATATTTGGGTGGTTCCGCCTTCAGTGACCGTTCGATACAGGTGCAAAACAATAAAAACAGGCATTTAGAAATTGGTAAAGGGTGTCAGCGACCACTAAATAGAGGTGACCGCTCGATAGAGGTGAAAATTACAGTGATTAAGGGGAAACGAATTCGGGACTTTGATTTTAGATTCTGTTTTGAGCTTTACCGTAAAAAATTATCCGTTTTAAAACACCTTGACCTACTGGCATGTGTGGTTGTAACTTTATGAGACAAATTGGTTCTGACAGCCTGAAAGCACGCCACCTAGTCATGACAACGTTCGGACATGTGCAGACGTTTGGCCGTTGTGTTTTCGCAACCTACGTTTTCACGAAAGGGAAGGTTTTTGTGTGAGACAGAAAATGTTACAAAAAAGAACAATTCGAAAAACTCAACAAAACTTTTTGGTTGATGTAAACCACAAAATAGTTTAAACAAAAGTTAAAAGCGTGAACAGAAAAGCAAACTAGAGAGCGAAAGTATCGGCAATCGTCACTAATCAAAATCCAAACTAGTAGCTGATCAAATAGTACGTTTAAATTCAACCGACGCGTTTCGCCTGTCGGCAATCTTCTCTGCCTAAAACAATTTCAGTAAGTAAGCGATTCAGCAGCAAGCACAACACAGAAAAGTCCAAAGAACAAAGCAAATTATGAAAATATCATGTCGAACTTGGTTCTGTAACAGGTTGCCGCTCTATCTGAATCATGAGAGAAACATAGTCAAAAGTTTGTCAAAGTTATTGTCAAATTTATCAATTTTGCGATTCCTCGCTAATACTTGTACGCGCTGCGGACCTATTTCTCTCGGGGAAATCAAGCGTGGTTACAAAGACAGTCTTCGCCATCTTGGTCTTCATCATGGACGTCGCCGAAGAAAACGCTGAGGAAAAGATTCAACAGGAGACTCGAGGAACTGATGAAAACGAAACAAAAGAGGAAGACCCAAAAAGAGAGATTACACAAACGGATCATCTTAATCGAAGGCTGTTGGGTGCATTTTTGGCGAGACTAAACAGCTCCGAATCAACTGGAGTTTTACCCTCTAACAACCTTCCACAAATGGACATTTACGAGGACGAGGATTTTGAAACAGATGAAAACTGTACAGATAATCGGCTTTTTAAAGACAAGAACTTAAATGAAGCACCTAAAGGTAGTTAATTCGACAATAATGGAGTCAAGAGATGAAAGAGAAACTTGCAGTTGATCCCATCATGAGAACTGAAGGCGTAGACAAGAGGGATTTTTTGAGCAAAGGCAAAGTTTTAATCGGTTTGATTTTACGTAGATTTATCGTCAGAATTCATTGTTTTGAATATTTATAAAGGTTTCTCAGTGGCTATTGACATGGGAATTATTTAACTAAGATTCCCGTTTCTTGGGATTCCATGCTCATTTGCCCTTTTGCCATTGATTTAAAAAAATTCATGTAGTTGATATGAAACGTCCCCACTGGCTATTTTAAACCCGAGTGAGTGGGTTGTGCTACTGAGACTTAGGACAAATAGATTCTTTCTGTTACTCAGAGCAACTTAAAATTGTTGAGTTCTTATAATGGTACTTGGACTGAGTGGAGTCCATTTAATAATGGTAATTGAACTGTGTGGAGTCCAATTTGATTTGTAATCAGACGATTGATTAACAAAATTGGACAACAATGAAGCTGGAGTCGGATTTGTTAGTTGCTAGTATGATTAAAGACAGAATTGGACAACACAAAGTCCTGTTAACAATTAATCAAAACTATGACAAAATGTGGGAAAGAAACAAGATGTTGGTTATAAGTGTTCATAAAATAAAAAAATAAAAAACAGTCTGCGAAATGCAGGACAACAATGCACATTCATGATGCATGCTATCCACTTACAAGGGCATAACATGTCACATGTCCCAGTACACTATCCAATCACAAGTATGAAGTGTACACTGTCCTACTGGGGCTCAAAAATCAGGCTGGTGATGATCAATGATGTTTGAGAATTTTGTTATTGTTTTGACTACTGGTAGGTCTGTAATCATATAGGTGATTAACGAAATTGGATAACCATGAAGTAGGAGTCCAATTTGTTAGTCACAAGTATGATTTCATACAGAATTGGACGACACAAAATCCTGTTCCTTTTGATCAAAACTATTTGACCAAAAAATTGAAAAAACTAGACATTGGTGATATGTTTTCATAAAACAACAACAGTGAACTTGGAGACAACAGTGCACACACAACACATACTGTCCACTTACACAGGTATTGTGTCAATTGTCCCATCACACTGTCCAATTAGTGCTCAAATCAGGCTAGTGACTACCCATCATGTTTTAGAATTTTGTTACAGTTTTGATTAACCCTTTAACTCCTTGAGGTGATTAAAATGTAATTCCTCCCTATAATATCCATACATAACACAGCAAATAGGTAATGAGAATACTCAAAACTATCAGGTAGAGGTTCTCTTAGTCTAATGCCAAATTCTTGTTACTAATCTAAAAGGAAATGTGTAGCAGCTAGAGGAGAGAATTAACTCTGGGAACTAATGGGTTAGACAAGAATTCAAGGGATTGAAGGTGAAAAATGGTGAGCTGAGCTGTTGCGTGGCCAATTTTTTCACCTGCATGGAGGTGAATTATTGTTTTGTGTATATCACAGACAAACCAAAAGATTACTTAATCTAGCCAATATACTAAAATTGACCAGGAATCAAACTCTTGAGATGTAATTTCTCTCTTTGTCTGCTTTGAGGTGAATAGTACTTGCTAATCACTTCCAAAACTAGCAAGTCAACACATGCAAAAAGCACTCTTCACCAGTGGGGTATATACTGATTTGGGATAGTGACTTTACATAGCTATATCAAGCATAATCAGACCACAACTGCTCAAATTTGTATGGTACTGAACATCTAAACCTCACATTGCCAAGGATTGCAGTTGATAGGTCTGGTGAACAAACTGAGGGACCTTGTCACATGCATCTTGTGCTGCTGACTTTGTCACAGACAGGCTTTAGCACTCTAGGCAGAACTAAAAAACTGTCACTTGGATCACAGCAGATACATTCAAAAGGTTTTTATTCCCTCCCTCAACTTTAACCATTTTCACAGTGAAACTCCCTGATCCAGCCTTTAATTAACCATAATTTTTACATGAATTTACAGTATGATTACAGCATTTCAGAAGCCATTTTTTTGTCAATCAATATGAAAATAAATTAAAATAGTGAGAGTAATGCATAGAGGTTGCCAACAGCAAAGATGACATTTCAATTCTCCACATCTTGCATAATAATTACCTTAAAATAATATATTGAAGAAATGTCTTTGTCCAGTCTTATCACACTCATGTGGTACATGATTGTATGAAAATACATTAATGAAAAAAAAAAAAAAAAGAGAGAAAACTAAAACAAAATCAAATAAACATTAAGGTGGGAGGGGAACAAGGCACAAAAGTTGATGATGAATAACTATCTTAGTTTTTTCCTCCTTATTTCTATAATAAAAATAAAGTCTATTTAAAACATAAATAACCAAGTAAAACTTGGTCATAAGTCCCTAATCAGCTACTATCAGAACACAGTAATCTGGGGCACTCGAGTTTGCTGATATTGTACAGCACATATACAGTACAAGCTAGTGACTAAGGTCACATCCATGACCACCCCATGAAGGCTCTCTCAGTGGTCTCCATTAACAACAAGTTCTTTATTTGCTGCTCGGCTAATAACAGCATCCATTTCTTCTTGAGTGGTAGACTCCTTGTGCTGTACTAAGTCTTTATCTCCAGCAGTAACACCCCAGTTGTCTGGCTTGGACATACTAGAAGAGAATGGCCGACCACCTGATGGATTGAGATTCTCCCAATAGGATCTCCGTGCCCTATAAGTAAACCAAAGTAGAATTAAATTACTACTAAATGGTATTAATTGTACCTACTGCTGAAATTTTCTCAACTCAATGAAGAATATTTTTTTTTCCCTAACTTTTCCCAACAATTAGCCAAGTCTTGCAGTGTGTATAAGTTACATACAAGTAATTTATGTAAATAGTTAAGTAAATTTGGTAGGCTAAAGTGTCCATCAATCTATAGCCATACAATCTCAACCTAACCTGTACCTCTTTGTAACTTGAGGTAAACTTGAGGTAGGTCTTTGCTTTCCCTGGTTCTGGCTTTTAACACACTTCATTGGAAAGTGCATTGTATGCAAAGCTTCAAAAAGATGGGTATGTTGTTTTTGTGTGTAAGATTCAGTTTTAATGAATTTCCTTTATTCTTACCTGGCTCGAACCCATGGTTTGGTGTGCAATCTCAGTCCCTCTCCCCAGGGCCCATGTTTTTCACTGGCTTTTGGAAGTTTTCCCCTTTCCTTGGCCAACTAAATAACAAAAGAAATAAATTAATTAATTACTGTTGACATTTAACTGGTGTTTTCAGTCTCTGGAATTTATATAACAAATCACAACCCTGATAGCCAATCCCATTGATCTAAAAGTTAACATCTTCCAGTAAGGAGAACAAAAATTTAGAGATCAAACCTCTTCTGCCACTGCCCTAGTGTGATAGGGCTCAATTCCACAACAACCACCAATGTAACGGATTCCAGCATTGTATGCATCTCGAGCAAACTTGTGAGCATCCCATCTTGTCATGAGTCTGGGCTCTAGAGCTGTTCAAACATTAAGTGTTGTTGGTGGTCAATGCCTTACTTAACTGTTCCTGTAGTTGTTCAGTAATGTAGAACAGAGCTCAATATTGTATGCCGTCTAGCAGCCAACCCTTGCCTCTGATAATAAAAAGCCTTGACCTTACACCAGCTCACACCTACCAGCCAGTTTGGTGTGTATTGACAAAACAGCCCCTGTCATAGCATTGACTGACACATCTTTATAAGAGCAGAAAAGGAAAATGGTTTAAACCATTCCAAAAGGAGCAATGTCTTTGTTACTTATCATGTTTCCTCTCTAACTGAGAATTTAAGAAAGAGTGAACCTGAGAAAAGACTGCAACAACTCTTTGGGAATTCCCAATAAGTCCTGACATGTGTCTTTGAATATAGGTGGGTCCTCCACAAGAAAAATATCATGCCTTAGATCATCATTCTGATGTACAAGAGAGTTAACAGTCTTAACAACTAAGTAATTACCAAAAGGAAATTCTGGAAGATCAATGAATCCCTGTTTGCCAGCATCTGGGGTTAAGTATCCGAGAGGCTGCACCATCAAATGTTTCTTAATCCCAGCTGCATCAAGTGCTTCTTTCATCAAGCGACATGCTTCAATACATTCATCAGGTCCAAAATGACAATTGATCCCAATAATATCAGCACCTGGTATTTCAAAGCAGGAAATTATTTATCATGAGCAAACAGATTGTTGTCAGTGTTAACTAAGGAAAAAGTAGGTCCAGAAAAAGATCAAGTCAGCTTGACTTGCAATTTACAATCAAATTAGCTCTGGCATTGTTTCTATGGTGGATATTTTTTTTTCAGCATTTTAAAACAATCTAATGAAGATGACTGAATTCTTCACAACATTTGAACAGATCTTGTTCATTTGGTGCAATTATAATTGCATGTAAAACTGGGAATGTGGAACTTTTTTGCATAGGGAACAAATATCTGCATTGTTATTCTGTACTTTTTTTAGACATTTGACTATAGCATGCCTACAAAAATGCAAAAATTGCTGCTTGGACATGTTTGGAAATTCAAGTTTTTGAGTATCAACAAGGTCATGTTTACACTGTCAGTAAGAATTTCAAAGAGATCTATAAAAATTACTAATCAAGTCTTAAATCTAAGAGTGAATGAACTGTTTGAAGTTAACTAACTGTAAGAAAGTAGAGGAACAGCAACTTTTGGTTCTTCGTGAACAGTAACACAACTTATGTTGACAATTACTTTTAGTGCAAAATATCCTTGAATCACTACACTCTATACCTGCATGAGCCAAGCGCACTGCGCATTCCCCAGTAGGAATGCCGTGCAAATCTCCTTGGGGCCCAATGCACAATGAAACGGCAGTAGGTTTGCCTGTGGCTTTACACGACTCCACTGCCCATTCTGCTTCTTCCACATGTTCATAATACTAAGAACAATTTTACAATAACATTTCATGCCTTAGGAAATCATCATGTTTGAATCATGTTTGCATAGCACAAAACCAAGGTTTTACAATAGGAGCCAGAAATGGGCAAAATTCGCTGTCTATGTTGAGCGAAATTGCCTCCTACTTCCTCTGAAATTTGCATCACTGAAGTCAAAATTGAACTTACTTTAGCCATCTGTATTGCAATTTGTGCTATCTACTTAGAAACTCAATGAAACCCTCAACAAAACCACAGGAGCAATAAAGATGTTAATTTTTTTTAAATTTGAGATTTAAGTTTACAGTTATAGTATTGTATTCAATAAAAATCATGAAAGTAATCCTTTTTGGGTTCAATTTAAATTAAAGACATAGGTATAAACAAAATTAAAACCCATCAGTTTCATTTTTGCATCCATTTTAATTCACTAATTGTGAACTTAATGGATTAATTGTTCTACTTGTGATCCGTTTCTTATTGAAGAATCCACAGTCATATTTCTTTCAAAAATACCCTTGAATGTTAAGTTTACCTCTGCAAGTAGAAAGTCCACATCATTTTTCAGGAAAATTTCTATTTGTTTCTCAAATTCTCTCTGACAAGCTTCTTTTCCTTTGCCACTTAAGTATGTTGGTGTTTGACAAACACCTCCGCACACCAAAGCATCTCCTTCGTTAGCTACTTCAAAGGCAATGTCACATGCTGCTTGATTGATGGCTTGGCACTAGCAAGTGGAGAGAAATTTCAGCCATAGTTATTAACCACAGGGGGTACATTTATTTTCCCCTCACATGGTTATCAGGTTGTCACATGGTTGGAGGTTGGTGATGAGTTTTACCACTAGAATTAGAGGAACATCAAAGTGGGGAAACCAGCCAATTCATGTTGACAAGGTTCAAATGTATCTATTGCTTGCTATTACCTTGTGCTGTTTCAGTTTAATCAGTAAAATAACATCAGCAAATGTGCAAGGTCTTCCTACCTCAATCTCCATTTTGGGCTTTGTACTTTGTTAGAGGTTTTTAACTATCTCCGAGAGGGATGGCCCTCCATCATAAATAACTTCAACTATATCACTTCCATCACCTTACAGATCTTAGTAATAAGCCTGAAGATAATAGTTGAGCAGAAATGCTTGAGGTGATGGACCCTCTTCAACAGCCACTATTTTACTATGAATTGCATGCTCACTCTACTGGAGCTGATAATAATTACATTGATGAAGCAAAAAGTGTGAAAAGTTAATTTTTTTGGAGAATCATTTGCCACAGTTGTGACTACCCAACCTAAATGTACAAAATGTTATGCTTAGTGCACAACCCAACCATTTAAGAGGTCAGCATCTCTTACAACCACTGGATAAGGATTAAAGTGGTTACAGAAAGGTGCCCTTCCTCAGGCAGGTGCAGTTATCTTAGGGAGCCCTCAAAACACCACAATCCCCCAAGCATGATAATTACCCACAATATAACTTACTCCTATTTGTGCAGCAGTGTTTCCGCGATTCCCAAGTTTGTCATCGCTAGCATAGAATGTGAATGTTTGCATAACATCAGCTCCAGCACGTAGAAATTCCCTGTGAAGTTCTTTGACTGTGAAACAGAATACAAAGCAATAAAAATAGTTTGAAATTTTTCAAACTAGCTGCTCTTCTACTTTTCACTTATACCTAATCAAGGCCTAAAAGCCATTTATGACAATCAGAAAAATATTTCTGAACTAACCGGTAGTTAGAGCAATCTCTTATGTGGAATTGTTCAAGCAGAAAAGAGAGGGGCTAGCAATGCAAACAATTTCATATGAACATTGAGCATTACTTTATTTTTAAATTTTGGTCTCAATCATTGGATGGGCGGGAACTAGGCTGATGGGATACCAGGGAGTGGCAGGTTTGTTTCAAAGACTTCCTTAGAGCAATGATTAGCATTGAGTCCACATTATTATGCAAAAATGATTGTTAAAAAAAAATAAATAGAAATAAAAACGGGCGGAATAGTTAAAACGTCCTCAGGGAACTAACCGAAACCGGACTGGAATAACCGGTTTTTTGAATGAATAGTGTTTCACGCCACGTCTACAACCGGTGGGCTATCTATGTCGCTCTCAACCAATTTGCCTTTGTTAAAACATCGAATTTAACGAATTGCGCTTAACGTTCTATAATGTCGTTTGAGCCAAAAAATTTATTAAAATCGGTACGCGAAGCTTCCTTTGTTCACGTGTGCGTGACTTTGTTTAATACTAGTATTGTTTTGATTTTCTCGTAAACTAGCTATCCTGTCCAAGAAAATGACATACTTGAACGCATTTGTTGTGAATTCGAATAACTATGACAACCTTTACGATTACCACAACTCCATTAGAGTTTTACTTGCTTGATCTTGTTTTGTTGTTCATCTGAACTTGTGTAACCTTAAAACACGTTATGGATATGAGGTGCCTTCCGCATAATCACGCTACACGAGGTATTTTCATTGCGTAATCGTAAAAATAGCGAGGAATCTAGAGGAACATAATTTCACATGTAAAGTCATCTTATCTAGCATGTAAATGCGAACGTACGATGCGTTTCTTAACCTGTAATTTTCTCACTACCCTTTGTATCCTAAGATCATTCACAAACCAAAACAAAAGACGATGCGAAACCGCCTAATTCGGGATGAACAAGAGATTAGAAAGTCCCTAACTTAAATCTTTTACCTGCCGAAGGATATTCTACATTCACTTCTGGCGTCCAAGGACCAGCTCGGACATAGCCTCGTTTTTCCAGTGCAAATACAAAACCACCATCACCAATCACAACTTCACCTGCGTCAAGTCTTTCAAGAATGCCACGTTTCTAGTTGGTCATGATATTGGATTAGTTTAAAACATCAGTTACTAAACTCAAAAGATAACAGAGAGAAGGTGTCTTACCGGTGCCATTTTTCTGTCGTGAACGCAATAAGAAGAGGGCGGATAGATTTTGGGTCTTCTTCCAATTTGTTGTATTCAAACTTACTACGTGCGTGAAAAAAAATTGTGTTTATAAACAGGAACACCCGGCAGCTCGTTTTACTCGTATTTGTCCCGTTTGAAACCGGTCGATGTAAAAGTCGCACTCCAATTGGCTCAAACTACCCGCCAAAACCTGCGTCATCGAGTTTGGCTTGCGTAGCTGGATGGACAAGGATTTAAGGATTTATCAATGAATGGAGAAACTCGTGATCTCTTGCGTGTTTATTTCTTGTAGTCACTTTACAAATTAATTGGATTTTACTCTTTGACTAACCTCTGAAACGTTTTGGTTATTACATGAAATGTTCATCCAGCTTCTTCAGCCACTATAGTGCACTATTACACAGCCTGACCTTCAAATTCGCTCCTTCTACATTGTCTTTCTCGTGATGGATTTTGACACAGAAGTCCATTGAGAACCTGACACGGCTTAGTTTCCTTTATTGTCTCAACATGTGAAAAGTACTACATCTTAACGATTCAATCCGACTAATTACTGTGGTTTTCGTTGTGTTTTGCTTTTCAAGTTTTTCATTAAAGTTTACCCGTGCAGCTCAATGATCATCCTGCACAAAGAGATCCTCTTTCGGGATCTATTGCAAAAAATGACGAGCGAGGACGCAATCTAATTCATCGTCGAACTTTACCCGTGCAGAATCTTCGAGAACTTTTTTTTTTTACATCATTATTTAAATAAGTATTTTGACCTGTGCCTTGCACAGATGTTATAATTTCGTCGTGCATAGCTTGAGTGCAACTGAACATACCAGTCACAGCTGGTTTACACGATGCTTTCAAATTATTATTCCTGTTAACTTGAAGAACAGACGGACTTATTAAAACTCGTCACGTCGTTGAGTTGGTGGAAGAGTCGGGCTCGAGTTCATCATGTGCGTGACTGGTTAACGCAAGTGACTCGCTCTCCGCGCAGGCATGAAGACGAATTTCAAAAATGAACATCAGCTTTGTTTTAGAGGCTAGACTTTACCTGCTTTCCACTCAGGTAAAATTCATCCAGAGGTATCAGCGTTTGAAAATTCCACAAATAAATTCATAAATTTAGGAAACGGTTCAACAATGATAATAACAATGATATTTACAATTTTATTCATCATTCAGCATTTAGAGTTTTTGACAAATACTATTTAGAAATTAATTTCAACATTTTAACTAAGAAAAGATTCACACATGACATTATTAAATACAGGGAACTTGCCAAATTTAAATGATAATACTATACAGAAGCAAAGAGAAATGGGAGACTTACTTAAAGAAAGTCTCAGATAGTATTGTTAAAAAATAACGCGTTAGACAGATTTGACATATCCTTCCAAAAGAACAAAATTAATAACAAACAATGTTATTAAATTTTATGTACAGCTAGAGAAAAAATGTTGAATTTCTACAATAATCCAAGCCCTAGAGAATCAATTTCCACCGGCGGCAGTTCAATATCCGAAAGGCTGAAGGAATCAAATTGAGGAGTTAAGGAATCCAGGTCTCTTTCGAACGGGAGTGAGTCACGAGTGTTATCTAAAAAATACAGAACGTGTCATCAGTTAAGATATGTACAAGTTTGTTACAACGCAACTCAAACTCTTGTACCCATCTCATGAAGTACTATCAAGAGTCATAAGGTTGGTTAACTTTTAGGCAAGAAGCCATGCCCAGGCTGTGTAGAAGCTCCTCCCTTTGAGTTTCAAGCCATGTTTTCTTTCTGTTTTTTTCTGTAGTGTGACTTCTATAACCCATCACACCTGTGGTTTGCTAGTCTTGCACCAAAATTCTTGTAATGACAAGATTCCATGTTATTATTGGTAACCTGGCTTATTTTTCTTTAAGGTAACTACAAGTGAGGGAGAGGGGGAGGCAGGAGTAGGTTGGTGGAGAAGTAATTTTGGACCTCCCAATTAAAAATTCTGAATCCACCTTTGTTCTGCAATGTAAGATCATGTCAGCTAGCATGGTCACTGGCTCCCTGCCAGACAATGTCTATAGCTAAGCAAGCAAGCTCTAAGGGTAACATCAAGGACATCCTCAAATCAAATTTTATAATTTTTTTTAACTAAGTTTGAACTCAGATGCTGTCATCAAGGTGCTTTTTAAAGTTTTCAGATGATACCACTTAATCTGAGGAGTCTATTAGTGCTGATGATTTTTTTAAAGCTCTCAATTATCAGACTTGAAACCTTGAAAAGCCAAAATCATTATAGTAACAGATGGAGTGACACAAGCTCTCACAGAGTAAGGTTATCTGAGTGTTCTAGCAAATAACAAAAATACAATACAAAAAAAGTCTTTGGTACCTGTTGTTGGTCTTTTGTAATCATCAAAGTGAAAAGAATCTGCTGCGTTGTCTTCAGCATCACAATCAGTGGAATAAGTGGGTTGAAACTGACAGCCATAATAAAGAGCTCCAACATTCTTCAAAATTGTTGAAATATAGTTTGACCTTAGAAGGACACCATCTAATGGGAATGAGAAATGATAATGTATGTTTTATGTACCATTTTTTTTATTGTTAGTATTTAAGGGTTTTCTATTTCTAAAAAATTGACGCAAATTAAGTTAAGGTTCTAAAATTTATAATAATAAAGAGAAAAAATATACAGAATTCATGGCACAAAACAATTCCACATAGCTACACTAAGACGACTACAATGGTACAAGTAGTATATTAAATCACAATAAAAACAAAATAAAATAATTGAAAAAATAACACTATGGGTACTATGGGTTTAAGAAACAATGTCACATGTAAAAAGTAATTGCAAATACAATATAAAAGTTTTTTCTATCTTTTTTCGTGTTTAGTTATCTTATTTTGTTTTGCTGTTATTTGGTTTTGTTGAATAAGGTTCACCAAGGAAAAATATTGAATTAAACAATTACAAAAACCGAAGTTCAAAACTGGATCTGGTTGTTACAATAGGGCCAGTATTTTACATTTTTAGTTTCATGGAAGGTTAAATTGAAGTTCAGTACAAGGTACATTCACAATTTAGTGTAATGTATAATTTAGCAAACACAAACTTTGTCAACAGATTTCCAGACGATTTTTTTACATGGTACTGATCATATGATAACACTCAAGCATTCATCTTCTTGGTAGGCTGTTTTTGAAAGACCATGTGAGAAAAGTGTACTTCCTTGAATGACCCATATTGCTAATTTGTTTCTAACTTTTTAAACTTCAAATATAGATGGTCATTTCTATCTCCACATTGACTTTAAATCTATGTGGATGTTGTACATTTAGTTTTTGTTTCTTTTAAATTTAGCAAAAATAAAGTTGCAGTACCTTGCAAGGAAAAGATACTAAGTGGTAGGCACCCCTCCTTTTTAAGGAGGTATGGTAATAGAACATACTCCTGTACCTGTGTCAGTAAATGGATACATCACTTCTCCTTCAGTCAAGTCTTGATCCTCTTTTGTTCTTGGTTTCATTGCTGTCTTTGTTTGAGTTGCAGTTTTCTGTTTGCTACTTTGTTTTATACCAGCAGAGCTAATTTGTTGCAAGAGTGGTTTTCCTTTGGCCGATGGTGTTCGGGTATGATCTTGAAAAATCTTTGTTGTTGTTGGCGTCTTTCCAATCAGCTTGTTTGGTTTCAAAGCAAGTCCTTTTCTTGAATTTGAAGCAGCTGGTTTTAGAGTGTTCCCTACATCTCCCAGAGCACGTCTTGGAGTGGTTAAGGGAACATTGCTGGACTTAAAGGATTTTGCAGCTCCAAATTTTCTCCCTGTGTAATAAAGTAATTGCAAAATTATTGTATGTTATTCCATTGTCTCGATCTAAATGCATGACAGTAACAGACTGGTCCTTCCCATAAATCTATCAATAGTTAACTGGGGGTACTGTTACTTATATGAAAAACAACCTCTAAGAGTGACTAGCATTTCATTTGTCCTCACAATACTACTCCTGAATCACTCACTAAGTTCAAAAGAATAAAATAAATTATCACCAACAAAGGAACTGCTCTTGAATGTTAAAGAAATTCTCCTTATCAGCCCCTAAGAAGATTTAGAGAGAATAGTATGGAGGATATGCATACTGATGGTAGGTCGTAAAGGATTAAAGTAGCTACAATGAGTAAACTATATAATCTGAGTAAAGGCGAGAACGTCTATAAACATTTCCACTCGAGCTTGATTTTCGTTTTATTATCGGTAACTTGTACTTTTAAACAAAAAATTTTTCTATTAAATGTTCTTCCCAATGATTTTTCACATACCACTGGAGATCAAACTTAAGACATTAAAATTTTAGACAAAGGAGTTGCTGAAGTTATACCTGACGCATTTCCCCCTTTGAAGTTCAAGGGGTTCGGATTTTCTTGATCGACATGCGGCCTCAAAACTGCTTCTGTTGCCATTGATAGCTTCACCGTTAAATAATGCAGCAGCTTTATACAAGGTAGTATCAGAGATTATTTCAAATTCGCTTGAAGTATAATTCACTTCCTACCGTAGGTCACTCAAATACTGTAGTATTTTCAAAGATGGCGGTTTTTTTGTAGCAGCATCTCACGTGACTTACTATAGCCAATTAAGATTTAGTTACCATGCTCCTAACGGAGAAATTATATTAAACATGGCTGCCGGGGTCACAGATGGCAATATTTTGTACGATTACTTCATTCACGCAGAGTGGTCCCTTGGAGGAGAAATTTTGGTTAGTTTTAATTTTTTCAGTGCTTGGGAATGTCTAGAATTTTTTTGTATCTGTTTTGAAAGACTTGCTTTCGTGCTTGCGTAGTGGCGAGGTCAACTTATTACGTGGCATCGTAGCCAGCTTGCGTACGCTCTCGAGGTTATAGACTTTTAATTTGATATACTCAAGACTTTCAAGATAGATATTATACATCCAAATTCTCTCTTATTTGTAGGCTTCTTTCCATGAGTTCGATGGAAAACTATATGGCCAAGTTTCTGTTTCGATTCATTTCTGATGATGAATTGAATTAAATGAAGTCAAAATAAATAATTATCTTGGTTGCTGTCTTGGAATGTGGTCACATCTTCAGCTGTGTTATAGTTCTCCACATTAATATTTATTAATTAGCATAACTGGTGTCAGATCCGAATTTAGTGGCTTATTGCCACATTGATTTTCTTGTTAAAGCTCAAATCTAGACTCGCAGCATGGCACATAACAGCTGTAAAACTGAAAGAAAGAACTGCAACCCTGGACAGATGAGTTCCTGTCTTCTGATAATATTTACTTGCTTTCCATGTAGCTGGGAAAAGCGTTGCATGCACAATATATTGTTGACTTCTGCTATGATATCATAAATTATCAGAACCAAGGTCTGGAGTTATCTGCTGAAGGCCAGAAAGGCTGAGGCAGATAACTCAGACATGAAGTTTGATAATTCATGAAACCATGCCAAAATGGAATTCAGTAATTATTTGTTAATTATTTTATTATACATTTTTTAAACAATCTGCAAAAGAAGACTCTTATCTCTGAGTTTGCCAGAGAATGAGAACACTACATGGATAAGAGGCTTGGAAACTAGGCAGACCATGAAGTCAACATGATATATACATTATCTGCTGCAGATATTCAAATTGGGTCTTCATGTGAACTTCACACAGTATTTTATAATGATTGAATACTCTCAACCAATCAGATTTTTCATAGAAAGTCAACTGTATAATAACCCAGCTTATCAGATCATTTGTTACAGTTTGATAACAAAACATTTGGAAAATACCCATAAACCACTCTGGAATCTTTTTGTCTTTAAACCTGGATACCATTTACTTGCAGTAGACTTGAATAGTAGGTCTACCCTAGAAATCTTGAACTCATTATGTCTTGAGAAAAATTAATGGTTAAAACTTAGATGATCCAGTCAATAAAGTATAAGAGGGTTATAACTTTTCAATTTTTCTTTCAGAACAAGACTGGGTTTGATATTGGTCAGTTGAGAGGATCACTGCCGAAGAAGTTTTTGACAGTTGCACAAAGTATGAATGTTTTACCAATTATTTTGTATGAGTTAGGCAATATATAACTGTCACAGTATTTTGTGTCAGAGAATCATACATGAGCAGCATAGTGAATAGTGTGCTCACTATTGTTAAAATAGAGATAATTGATGTTTCACCTCACATGACTATTACCCGAAGATACTCATAATTAAGACAGTTACCCAGATACTATAATGAAGATTCTGTAGCCTGATGGCTGGCTTGTTAAGAGAAGCCCCTGCCAGGGTCATTGCGATGTTGTTCAGAGTTTTTTTAGTAACCATTCATAAAGAACAGTAGCTAACAGGAAACGCATGACAGGAAATACTTAGCAGTTAGTTGGCAGATAAGGAGTTTTTCTTTTCTTTTTCTTCAGTTTTTCAATTTCATTTGGAAGTTTAGAAGAATATTTAGGTACACCTTCATGATATTAACCTAATTTGTTGCATGAATTACTTGCACCTTTGGAGTATAGGACAAGTTGAAATGGTGATTATCTTTTCTACTTTACTCTAGATTCCTTTTGGTGGTTGGTGAGAGGCATTCAGTACACTGTTAGGTAATGAATACATATATCTTATTAGATGTTTCGATGTGTAGTACTGCTGAGTTTGTTTACAAGTTGTGCCGTATTTCGATGAGCCCATAGGGTTACATCAAAATACTTAACAAACTGATTAAACAGGACAGTTTTCTACAGTACTAAATAACCAACTGTCCAAATAACCATACAATATATATATGTTATTTGCCGGCTGGGAGGTCCGTATGGTGAAAAACTGTGACCGAGGTCTTGAAAATACTGCGGCCGAGGGCAGCATTTTCAAGACCGAGGTCACAGTTTTTCACCATACAGACCGACCCTTAGCCGGTAAATAACATATTTATTGTTTTTAAACTCGACGAAATTCTTTCCGAAAGAACCCGAATGATTTATGGCTGTAAATACGGCAAGATCTTCCATAAACTGAAAAATTTTTGAGTGGGTAAATGGTAGTTAAAATAGAGGTGATGCAAATGTAAGAGAGATGCCTCAGCGAAACATTTTCATTTCCGTAACGATAAAGGTGATTTAAAAGGCTTCCAAACAAACTTTGAAACATTATTTTTACAAGTATCTGTCACAATCTGACACCTGTCAATTAGAGAGCGCGCAAGAAAAAGAAAAGTGAAGGAACATTTGAAAACCAACAGAACTAGTTTGGCAAGGACTGTCACGACAATGTTTTCTTCAAAATTAGTTAATGATCTAACGGAAAGTATTATTCACTCTCATCGACGATTCATTCATGTACGAAGATTTACCTCTGTTCATTAAGTAAATGGCAAGGAAATCAATTGTGAGTAAATTCAATCTTTTTATTTTGAAGTTGTGAGAGTTTGCTTGTTTGTTTGCTATAATGGTGTGTTTAACTCTGATCTTTCCTTCACAAAAATTAAATTCGAACGGCACACTCCAACGAGACACAAGGGAATTTAATGCAGCCTTTTCTCAATTCCTTCAATTTCTGTTGTGCAATTTAAGGTACAAATGTCCAAATTGAACGGAATTGGAAAGACTCACCAGGAGCGTATATTTGTTGTAGAACTTAAATTAAAACTTCGCTCCCTTTTTTTTTTACTATGAACAAATTGCTCGAGAAAATTCAGATATTAAATGAATGAAAGTTCCATCGTTCAGTTTAACTGTAACCAAATACCTCACGTTTCAACTTTCTGGGTACTTTTTGTGAACGATTAAAATTAATTGCAGACGGTTTTTAGGCCGCTTGTCAACCAACGTAATGACACTATTGTTTATACAAATTCATTCTGAAACCAATATTTTTCTGTCAACCAAAGTGATTTGATAGAGAGAAAAGGGAGGATTCATAAGTTATTTATCGGCTTGAGGTAGTGACCGACGTGTTTGCTTAAAAATACTGCCCAGCCGGAAAACGAGGTATATTTAGGAAAAATGACAACGAAAGTTGGGATGTACTCGGCGACTCACGAAAGTGTTACCGTGGCCCGTGGGCAGAGATAGGAAAATACTGACCGGGTAAAGAACCAATCAGATTGCAAGATTCGTTACCGCGCCCTCTAAAAAAACAATAATACAAGATATTTGTACTCTTTTCACACGTTATTTGTACTCTACTTTGTGCATTTGGATAACAATGTGTTTTATTTGATACAGAATAATGCATTGATTTAAAAGATAGCTCTTACTAAAAAATTACAAGTCCATACTTAAAAAATCTTTCCAAAAAATTTTGCAAAACTTAAACTCATAATCAACTAGGAACTAATAATTTAGTAAAAAACCATTATAGACTACAACAGTTGAGCAGGTATGTCAACACTGTATTCAATTTCAGTGGGAGTAATCAGATATTTGGCCTTCCAACACAGCTGTACAAAATTGTAAACAATTCACTTGGCTGGCAGTTTGCCCTCTCCAGGTAAACTATATATTTTTCATTAAGTGAACATGCTCTTAATAATTTTCTTCTATATTGCAAATAAATTTATTTGGTCAATTCTTTTCTGGAAACTGTTAATTTTAGCTATAGATGTTGTTTTGCAAACAAGTGATAAAAATAATAAAACTTATCAGGAAGAAGTTATTATCTTAATCTAATACCAAATTTTGTAACTAAGTTACAAGAAATGACTATCAGCTAGATGGGAGAATTAACAACCAGATCTTGGGAGTTGAAGAGTTAAGACTCGAATTCAAAGAGAACTTTTAGCTCTTAGTCAAAATTAAGTACAACCCTAAATAATTTTGCATGTATAATTTTCTTAATTGTATTTTATTTAGTGATGGAAAGCTCCTTGCAGTACTTCAAGAAAGTTGCATTGAGATTAGGTAACTTTTGTCTATTTTCCAAGGTTACCTAGTTTTTAGGTTTACAGTTTGAGTGACAAAAGATTGCTAGTACAAACACTAAGTAACTGAGATGAATCAGGTCAATTAATATTTATACAATTGGCTCCATGTAAATGAGACTTCAAAGTATCTTTAATTTTTGACTTCAATTAATGGCTTTTAACCCTTTAATTCATCATGAGTGACCAAGAGAGAAGTTCTCCTTACAATATCAATATAACATCAAGCAATCAAGAATAGAGAATAGAGAAAAATATCAGTTAGGGGCTCATTAGTTGATCCAATACCAAATTCTCTGCTATAATATCACAAGAATTGTATGGCAAACAGTGGGGAGAATCACTAATGAGATCTTTGGAGTGAAAGGTTAATGGAGGGCAACTATTTAATCACTTACTATGAATATTTTCATACACAGGTCATTTGTAGACAACTTTGAATCAGTTATTGCAAAATGTACAGGTAGGTATACCATTTGCCAACCTTTCATTCAGAAGCTGTGGATGTAAGTTGCTGCAAGTAACTTGCTACAACTCCTTACCAGTTTTTTCTCTTTCTCATTCATTTACCATCCCTAATATGAATATTTTTGCTGAAGTTTCAGTACAATTACATGGAAAGTTTTATGGGACCTATGTTGA